GTTTCTGGGGTTCTTGTTTGTAGTTAACTTTTTTTTTTTTATACTCGTGCTTTGGGATTTGATAATTAATAGGAAGGGCGGGAGTTCCGATGGAAGTGATGGGATTGATGCTCGGTGAGTTTGTGGATGAGTACACTGTTCGAGTTGTCGATGTCTTTGCGATGCCCCAGAGTGGTACCGGTGTTAGTGTCGAAGCTGTTGACCATGTTTTCCAGACTAACATGCTTGATATGCTGAAGCAGACTGGAAGGTATCTACTCTTCCACTTTGATTAATGAAATTTAGGGTATTTGTTGCAAATGATTTCTATGGGTTGTGTTTTCCGAGTTTTAGGTGATAAACATGCCGTTGCTTCTTCTGTCTTGTGCATATATTACATTCAATTGATTGTTTTCCAAAATCATTAAATTTATAAGAACGGTATGATTCAGTTGGAGACTTTGATTGTATAAGGAGCTCGTGCATGGATTTCTGATGTGGCTCTAGTTTTTAAATTTTTTGTTTCCCTTTTGTGAGAATCTTGATCAGCGTCGATTTTCGTGAGTATGAATGGAAAGTGAAGCTTGATGATAAGTTATAATAGTTTATAAACACCTGCATTGTTAAATTGTATAATATTTATACAATTGTGTCATGGTTTACTCTCTCTGATCTGCACTTTTGTTGTTATGAGCAACTGTCTAGTTTACGTTGATTCCCTATTGTAATTTGTGTTCTACTGACTGGCAATGCAGACCAGAGATGGTGGTAGGGTGGTACCACTCGCATCCTGGATTTGGCTGTTGGCTATCTGGTGTGGACATTAATACACAGCAGGTTGGTTTTATTCATTCTTTATATTTCACTGAGCTCAAGTTCATTTTCTTGTTGATATACCACAAACTTCTAACCATGCATGGTACTTTTGTCAATTATTAGTTTTGCGTAGTGTAAAATGTCATATTTATTTGTGGACATCAGTGCATGTTGATGTCTTCAGGTCTCTTTTTCCTTGTGGCATCGTTTCTGTAACGTCTGCTTATTTTGTTGTTAGTCTTCCTCTTTGGCCCCAAATATTAAGATTACTTCTAATCATGCATAGTACTTTTGTCAATTATTAGTTTTGCGTAGTGTAAAATGTCATATTTATTTGTGGACATCAGTGCATGTTGATGTCTTCAGGTCTCTTTTCCCTTGTAGCATCGTTTCTGTAATGTCTGCTTATTTTGTTGTTAGTATTCCTCCTTGGCCCCCAATTCTGAATCTTTACATTTGAAGGGAGGAGAGTTGCCACTGACTATTCCTAATAGTTGATCAAGATCATATGTGTTTGTGTTCTTCTCAAAAAAAATCAATATCATATGTGTTTGTGTACAACATTCTTTGATCCTTTTTTCATCAACGAGATGTTATGCCTTTACTGGAAATGCCCTTGATTAGAATTTGATTGTTGGTTGGTGTGGGCGGAAAGAGGGGCCTAGGGCTGTGGCTAGTAATTGTCATGCTGCTACTTACCAAAATGCATTGTTTTCTTGTGCTTTTATTCATGCAGAGCTTTGAAGCTTTGAATCAACGTGCTGTGGCTGTGGTGGTTGATCCCATCCAGAGTGTGAAAGGAAAGGTTGTCATCGACGCCTTCCGCCTTATTAACCCACAAACAATGATGCTTGGCCAGGAACCACGGCAGACAACATCTAATCTTGGACATCTTAATAAACCATCCATTCAAGTAAGTCCTGAACAAGTAATTGTAAACTCCATTCTTTGTGATCACCACTTTTTGAATTCTTATGCAATTTCCTCTTCAGGCATTGATCCACGGGTTGAACCGGCATTATTACTCGATAGCTATTAATTACAGGAAGAATGAGCTTGAGGAGAAAATGCTGCTTAACCTCCACAAGAAGAAATGGACAGATGGGTTGACACTTAGACGCTTTGATAATCATTCGAAGACAAATGAGCAAACTGTTGAGGTAAGAACGGATTTTGTGAGCCTTAAGAGTGGTGGTTTGGGAACTTTAATTTTTTATGTTGATTTTGGCGTCTATTATTGAAGTAAATGATAGTGATATTTAGTACTTATATGGAACCAAGTTAGTATGTTAGTGCACTTTGCTTGATCATTATGAGGTTATCCGTTGATAATGGTTTCCACTGAAGGTGAGTAGTAGGCAGTGGATGATAAGGAAATCAATTTAGGGCCACCATACACCTGATAATCTGTCGTAACAATTTTCATGTGGTAGAAAAGAATATTCATAGGAATAGTTTACGCAAGTTTTAAACCATGAAAGCTGGTTTTGTCTGCTGGGCAGGCCAAGATACACTTATTTAACTGTCAAAAAATCTATGATTGTAGTTTAAGAAAAAACCAATAAAGGTCGGTCTCAGTGTTGTGTGCCTGGTTAGAGGTCCATATCCTCACAAAAAATAAAAAACTATAAGAATCTGTATTTTCGAAAAGGTTCGAGATTATGCCCCTTTGGAATGTTTTGTTAGAGGGATTTTCGAATAGGTTCTATCCTCTTGCTAGAGGGACTTTTGGAATGTTTTGTTCCGGAAGTTCAAAGTGTGAGCTGCCTTGGATTGATTAGAGGTCGGCTAATATTTTATTGCCCGAAGTCATGGTTGTCTTCTTTATTTGGCTTTTACAGGAGATGAAGAACTTGGCTGTCAAATACAACAAAGCAGTGCAAGAGGAGGATGAATTACCACCCGAGAAGCTTGCAATCGCCAACGTAGGAAGGCAGGATGCCAAGAAGCACCTCGAAGAACACGTCTCCAACCTTATGTCCTCCAACATCGTTCAGACCCTGGGAACAATGCTCGACACTGTCGTGTTCTAGGGAGTTGCGATTGCAAAACCTTCGTCACTCTGTCAGAAGAGCATTTAGTAGTTTTCATCGCTTTGAACAATGGGCGTATGTAAGACTAGTTTCATGAAACTTGCTGCATCCAGATGTGATCTGTTCTACTTGGGAGAATTTTCTACTTTCAGTTAAAACCGTTTACCATGTTTGTGAAACACATCACTTCTTACTACATTAAACAGCCTCACTGTCACAGCGGCGTCCCGTTTCAATGAAACAATAGTACGGGTCAATTTCAAACTCGTGGTATTATGTTATGGATCTGAATATCACGGTGATAGCGAACTTATTTGGGAAAATTGGAAAATTAGCCATATTTTGTAGCACAAAATGATTTTTAGTCTGCTTTTTAGAATTCTTATAAATTTAACCAAAATTTCATGCAAAAGTTCTAAAATACCCTTGCATACATATGTTTTTTACGAATAGGTTTTGGCATTTGTTCAATCAATTCAGTTTCCTTTCTCGATTCAACCTTTTCCTACTCCGTCGGAGAGCTTCGTTGAGTCTATCAAAGATGATTCACTCATGGCACTGGGTCGAAATAGTTGCAAATATCAGTTAAAGACCCCCGCCTTTGCAAGGTCAAAGACAAGAAATTTACTTAAAACTAACAAACCCGGCACGCCAACATGCACAATTCAAACCAAACCTATAAGAAAATAAAGAAAGCAAACAAGAAACTCAAATGTTAATACATAAAATTAAGCAAACATATCATACTTCGAAAAAAAATAAGTTGTGGGTATTGATTATTACAGCAGATTATCCATTTGGGGGCCGTTTCGATATCAAAAGTAAGTCAACTGATTAGCTACTGAAACTAAAGCTTCGATCTTTATGTACTGGTCCAGCCGGTGCAGCAAGAGAAGCTTCTCAGGGGTGGCGGATTTGAAAAGCCACTTGAAGCACTGCAACGAGGTGGTGGGAGTAAGGTTGTGACAGCTATGGAGCAGGAAGAGGAGGGCATGAACATGATTGTGAAGGACCTTAGTCATTGATGATTATATTAATACTTTTATATTAACTTTTGGTTATAATTATTATAAATTTAAAATGATGGTTATAATTCTATTTAGGATCTAAATTTTGATTATTTTTCTAAAATTTCCAACTTATTTTCAATAAGCCGCTCCCCTTGCACACAGCCATCCCAAATAAACGTATTTTAAACTATCTGCATTCCACACCGCATCTTTTTTTCACATCGATAAGCCAATTAGTCAAAATTATGCTATGCTCCAATGGTACAGTTAATTGGGTAGGCAAATTTGGCCTACTCCCCCAATATAGATGACATTGCCTCCTTTCACATGTGTAAGCAAATTGGACTCTATATATCCTTCTATACTAATCATTTTATGTGGAGGAAGATGTAAAAATAAAAGATAAAAGTAAAGGTTAAATATGAAAAAAAAAAGGCTAATACTTGCATCCCTCCATGTGGGGATGCACATATCTCTCCATTTACGAATAATTTATCTTAATCGAATAAAATCAACGAACGAAGCAGTTCAATTTCTTAATCTTCATTTAAGATCATTCCTACAAACAATCATTTCAATCGGAGATCATTTTGTCATTCAAATATATAGCACAAATCGATGGTATAAGTACCAATTAACATATTCATGGTAAACCATCCATTTATTTGATATATTTGAATGATAATAATATTTGATTCAAATGAATTTTTGTAGGAGTGATCTTCGTATCAACAAATTGAATAGTTTTGATTGTTGATTTATTTAGTCAAGATACGTTATTTACAAATTGGCATATGTGGATCCCCCAAGTATTATCCAAAGAAAATAATAAAGTATCATTTTGCCTACTTGGTTTGCCTAGAGCGACAAACTTGTTCATGAGGCAATTAAGTATGCGACATGCCACAGCCTTTATAGTACAATTTTACCTATTTTGATTGCCTACACCATGGGAGATGCTTATAGCTTAAGTTTGATTTGGACTTCATTCATGGATTATTCTGTAACGCAAAAAAGTTTGTATCTCAACAATAGTACGAGCATTCACCTCTATACTTGAGATTTCTTGTTGGATCTCCCCTTCTGATGAGATCCCGTTTTCGTTTCTCCCCTCCCAATTATTATGTTGCCCCACACCCCATTCATAGATCAAACTAGTATAATCCTATTGAAAATAGCTTTTCTTTATTTCATATCATATATCAACAAGGTAAATCACGTTACAAATAAAATAAAAACAACAAGAAGAAGTTTCAAACATTGACAAAGGAATGCCACCATTGAAAATGGCCCCTCACTTGTCATTTTCCCACATAACAACATTTTCCACAAACACAAACTAAAACAAATTCTCCACTAATCTTGATTAATGAACTTACCCAAATTCCTAATCAAGATCTTGGCCTTGTCACAATTGGGATTAAAGATATGAAAAACATGATCCTCCCCTTGTGTTTCAATCAACTCCTTCCTCCCTCCCCATTTGCTCTTCACCAACTCATCATAGTAAAGCATCCCTCTATCCCTCAATATATCTTTTCCTGCCACCAAAACAAGTATTTTGTCACAAGCCAACCCCTCCAACCCCGGCGATCCGCCCACAAACGGGTTGATAAGCGGGTCGTCGCAGCCTTCCTCCGACGGGCAAACGAAATTCCACCACGTGTCCACCATGGACTTCCTCACGAAATCCCCCACCTCCCCACCAATTGGCTCCTTCCCCCAAAAGTATGGATTGATCATACCAATCCCGGCTATCTTCAATTTCGGATCCGGATCGGAGGGCTTGATCCGTAAGGCCAAGTGGTGTGCAATGTTAGCCCCTGCGCTGTCTCCGACCAAAAACACGCGCTCGAAATCGACGTGGTCCTTGACCCATGAATCACGACCTGTGCCACCGTTGAAAACCCAGTTAAGGGCGGCCCAGCAGTCTTCGTAAGCGGTGGGGAGCGGGTGCTCAGGTGCTAATCTGTAGTTTACTGAAACCCCTATGGCGTTGGCTTCCACAACAAGGTTGTTGAGGCTGGTGTGGTAAAGCGGCTCGCCAGCGGAAGCTATGCAGAAGGCTCCACCGTGGAAGTATATGATGAAGGGAAGTTTATGGCCGGGTTTGGCGGTGCTGGGTCGGTAAAGTCGGGCAGACACGCCAGTCTTGGGGAAGATGACGATGTCTTTGGATAAAACTCCGGTTTGTGGATCGAGGCCGGGAGGAGCGACTTGGGTTCCGGCGAGTCTGTCGATTGTGCCATCTTTGAGGACTCGGAGGTATGGAAGGACGTCAAGTAACACTTCCGGTGAGGTGGTTGCAGCCATTTGTATGGAAGAGAAACAAGGAGGAGAGAGGGAGAGGGAGAGAGAGAGAGGCTTTGGACGTTGGAGAATGACTTGAATTTTAGAGGGAGAGAGAGAGAGGCTTTGGACGTTGGAGAACGACTTGAATTATAGTGACAAGATTTGACATGCATTTTATGGAGGGAGATGAGAAGAGTGTGAGTGAGGGAATGGAATTGTATAAGGTTGTACCATACACATGCCTACACAACTCTAGTATTTTAAAGGTAGAAGATTTTTTGCGCCCAACAGAAAAATAAGGAAGAATAATTTGGCTAGTTGTTTACGGCAATATCATATTATGTGTGTATCCTAGTTTAGTGATTTTGGACAAACAATTCTTCTTGGTTGTATAAACAATTTTGAAGATTATTGCATAAAACACTTGTTATGTGCTTATTTATAAAGCACTTCAACGTGCTTTTAGAAAGCAAGCACATCAAATTTTAAATATAAATGTAAGCTTGTTTCAAATTAAAGCACTTCTAGCATAACAACTTTAAGTGTTTATAAGTGATTTTTAGAGAAGCAAATCTTAATATAAAATATAAAACATTGATATATAACCAATTTATTAAACTTCTTTTTATTTAAAAAATTAATAGGGGACTTGACACCTTTAAGCCATACGAGGTACTAATTAACTATAATTAAGTCACATGATGTTCTACTCTAATGGCTCGTTTATTAATTCATAATCAGAATGAGGGCAATTGTATTTATGAGGAATTGAATTGAGGAAGAATTGGACGGTGGAGTAATCAGAATTAGATTTATGTTAAAGTTGTTTACTAAATTATCTGAAATCGGAGTAGAAATGATGTTAATGGTGGAAGGATTGAGTTAAGTCATACGATGTGATAAGTACAATTAAGTCACACCTTTATCCCTCATTTAAGCAAATACTTTATATAAAAATGTTGTCTCTACTCACTAAACAAACGTGTATAATGTATGTAGACGTTCTTGTGGTTACTAATTTACCAGCAACTTGTAATAACCAGACAAAACACTTTTGTTTATTGCAAAAGAATGATAACTTAAAACCAACGCATCTTCTTGCTCACCTCCCTCTCCGGTATGATTCTTCGTCTCACGGCGGTTCTCAATCTCACGACGCTCAACCACCGTAACTCTCAACTCGCAGCCGCTTTTTGGATGTGACCACGGTAGCGCGATTTGGTGCAAATGTGTAGGTGGGAATTGAAGCCCTACCTTAATTGCCTTTAAGTATTCAAATTGATTCGCAAGGAATTCATTGATTCATGAGGAGAAGGTGGAATTAACGAGGAAGAGGAGGGAGAATAAGTCGTGTTGAAGAAGGGTGGTAGTGCAAACACGGATTGCACGACTGTGTAACTACCCATTAGTGGCGTTCTTAAAAACAACAATAAAAATAAATTATTGTCAGATACTAAGTAAAATTCGACAGGTAATGGTAGTAATGTCGGATAAGAGAAGCGTTAGGAATGCTAGCGTTATGAAAGGACTTTTTTTATTGGATAGCACCTAAGTTAAAAAATTAATCAAATTCCGAATCCACTATTATAGTAATTTTTTTTTCTTTATCCATGGGCAATGAGTTTCTAATGTGTTGGGCGCTCTGAACAAGTCCTTGAGAGGGCTTAGTTGATACATGATTTATGTTTCATCATTCGTTTCTTTTTGCTTTTTTTTTTTTTTTGAGAAAAATATCGATCGATTCCGATTCTTTCTTTTATATTGATTCTTTTCCGATCGAGATGTATGGATCCATGGGTCAATGTGTCTATACAGATCTTGTTCATGGATTAACGAAAAATCCCAAAATTAACAAACCGGGTGAACAACAAACATAATTTTTTTTATAAGGAAAAAACAAATCGAATGAAGAAAAAAAAAAGGACGATACTTTGAGGGAGAATAGGAATAAAAGGAGTCAGAGAAAGAGCAGTCCGTTGGAACAGCAAAAACCAAAGCTTTACACTTTGGACAACTTCTAGATCCTTAGACCATCTTCAAATGAGATGTTGAATCTTAAGTGGCATGCAATCAAATTTGCAATCAAATTTAAAGGTATGAAGAAAGAGCAAATCACATTGTCACATTAGCCGTCAAATTATATTTGACATTTATTTTTTAACATCTGCATTGAACATCTTTATGTCATTTTATCAAAGAGTTAACTTATGGATAAAACTTTTGATAAGAAGTGGGTGAGCGTATCAGTACTTGTAACAAAATATTAAGAAATTAGACTTACAAAGAAAGTTCCAGCCAATGCCATTAACTACAAAATCACCAAAAAAACAATAATAAATAAATAAAATCCCCAATCCCGTGCCAGAAAGAAATAAAAATAAATAAAACCAGTTGGAGTTTTTCTTAGCATCTTATGAACAATTATACTATGAGAAACAACCTCCACCACCAAGGCACCTACATTCTTGATTGGATATCAATTAATTTTCTATAAGCGGTCAAATTTCGAAATTAAAATAAACAAAAGAAAAAAAATAAATAATAAAAAACGTCATGAAAATGTGACAAAGCAAGGTCCAATATTTTGATTTGATTTGCAAGATGAAGAAAAAATTGGCTTGAAAAATGTGTATTTGAATTGCGTGGGTAATGCTGGATATATAAAAATGTCCAACAATTTTGACTTTTAACACTTTGAAATTTCAAGCATTCCAATCACATTACCATTTTTTTATTTAACTAGTGCACGTCTACACACGAAATGTGTGAATTTTTTTACTTTTGTTTTTTAAATTGAAGGAGAGGAGAAGAGAGTGAGAGAGGATGTGAGAGTGAGGAAAGAGGGCGAGAGGTTTTATTTTTTCATATTTTAAAAAAATTGGAGATGATAAAATCACATTTAGGTGAAGTTTAAAAAAAAACAAAATTTTGGTTATGAAATTACATTACTGTTCTTAATTTTTTTTGTTGTGATAAAAAACAAAAATATATTTTCACCTTCTTTTGGTTAACAAAGAGGTTTTATTAATATGTAGTTTAGATTATTTTAAAGTACTAATTCAAAACTCGTTTGGATGTACTTTCAAAATGACTGAAAGCGTTTTTGGTGAAAATGTTTTTGAAATCAATCATTGGTAAAAATGTAAGCAAATCCTGAAAAAAAACACTTAAAGTGCTTATTTGAAGAAACACGTAACTGGTGCTTCTTGCAAGAAACACTTCAAGTGCTTTTGGAACTAAAAAATATTTTCTCTAAAAGCGCTTTTAATCATTTTGAAAGTACATCCAAACGAGTCCTTAAATAATATGGCAAGAGTGAGAACACCATTTGATTTTATTCTTGTATCGGTATTTTTTTCTAGCTTAGAAATTGTTTGGAAGTGATTCTGGGAAGAATAAAACATTTTATAACAAATCAATAATGTTAAAAATGTTTATTGGTCGTGAAACCAACCTCGATACTATAAATAGTTGACAACACATTATACATTGTATTTTATTTTGTGTTTCTTATGTTGGATTTTTACATGCTTCGACAAACTTAACTCGGTGACGGACCAAAAGAAATTGCCCAAATGAGCTGAACCAGAAAGGAGCTATCAAGCAAACTAAATATGGATGGACTAAAGCAGTCTTGCTCGACCCACTGCTCACCCCAAATTCGTAAATACCTTTTCTCACCACACTTTATTCACGATGAGCATCATCACAGTGTCAATATCTTTTCTCATGAATTTAAATTGGATTTAACTTCGTTGCTAAAAGAATCAGCAGCTACTCCTATTAAAAACTTATCACGGTACGGTATGTGTTCAAGTCGTGATTAAAAAAATCACAACTTGAACACATGACTAGCCATGATTGGCTCTCAGTAGGAGGGGCTGCTAATTCTTCAGTAGCCAAGTCTTGTTCATTTAAATTTCGAGATATATTTACTGGCAACCAATACAACCGTAATTTTGCACTCTCCCAAGTTTGGGTATCCAAAGCCCAATACTATAAGGCCCGGCCCAACACAAAAGCTCAAAGGTGGATTCCACGTGGGACGCTATCTGTTGTTGTCAAAGGTATCACCTTTTCGCATTTCAGTGTCCCGTCTCTGTCTCTGCTCTTCCAGTCTTCCTTCCCCATTGATTTTCTGGTAAAGCTCCGTAACAATGGAGAAGATGATCGCTCTGAGATCGCTCTACCGCTCACTGTCCTGCAGATCTTATCGACTCGCCGCCGCCAACCAGAAGCTCCTACGCAACTCCCAACCCATCCACTCTTCCGCCGCTGCTGCTCGAGCCCTCTTCAATTCCTCATCCCCAATCGCCAAGGACCTCTCTTCCGGTAACTCCCTCCTTCTCCGTTCGACTTCAATCTGGTTTCAATGAAAATTTTGATAGATATGATGCAAATTTGAAATGGGTTATTGTTGCAATCTGATTTTCTGTATTAAAAACTGCATGTTTGAGCTTCTTGTGATGTAAAAAGATTTGGGTTTTTTTTTTCTTTTATTTGCTGCTGAAATTCCATGTGGGTATGTTGCGAATCCGCAGATGATTACAAGCTCCCGTTTTCAAGGGGGTTGGGAAGTAGGAAATTTTATAGTGATGATGTGAGTCATTTGCCTGCCATTAAAGACCCTGCGCTGCTCAATGTTTTCAAGGATTTACTGGCTGCAAGTTGGGATCACTTGCCCGAGATCGTCATCCATGATGCGAAGGCGGCATTGTCTGAGAATACTGATGACCAGACTGGCAAAGAGGTTGTCACTAATGTTTTCCGGGCAGCGGAGGCTGTTGAGGAGTTCGGCGGGATGATTACTAATTTAAAGATGGAACTTGATGACAGCATTGGTGCGAGCGGAGAGGTACTATAATCATTAGGGACTTTGTGGTTTCACTGTCGCCTGGCTCTGCAATTCTTTTGATTTTTGTGTTTTCGTATTGTCTGTAGAATGTCAAGCCCTTGTCAGATGAGTACGTGAATGCACTGAAGACCATTTACAATCGCTACATTACCTATTTGGATGCATTTGGGCCTGAGGAGACCTATTTGCGGAAGAAGGTTGAGACAGAGTTGGGAACTAAGCTGATATACTTGAAGATGAGATGCAGTGGAATGGCCTCTGAGTGGGGAAAGGTATTTATATAAAGATGATTAAAGTTATAGCTAGATAAGATTTTCGGTTAGTATTACCTTTTGAGAAAGCCATATCAAATCATAGGTGCAGTTATCTGGTAC